ACATTGCTCACCCCTACATGCGCCCCTGCTGAACCCACGAGCTCACAAGGACTTACTTCCAAGTCCCGAGCCTGCTGCGCCAGCATTCTGTTTGAAATCCCCACCCTTCACATCAGGAAAGGGCAACTCGCCCTGCCTCCCCTTCCTGTGTTCTTCAAAGCCACTGCCCCTTCTTGGAGTCGGTGCTTGAGACGGAGCTTTGCTGTCGCAGGCTTGTGAGGATTGCCCTGTCCTTTCCCTGAGGCATACAGCAAGCTTGCCTGCAGTGCTAATATTGGATCAAGCCTGCCTGTGAAAATCCTGCAGAAATTCTGGCCAGATGTTCTTGGTCAGAAGGCCGGTGCGTGCTGCTCACTGAGGCAGACATGAAGGTGTGGGGGGGGGGGCAGATTTTCTGCCAAGCCCCCAATGCACCCTGTATCACTACCTCCTGGGTGTTGACTCCTCGCACAATTCAGGAAGCAGAGAGGCAGCGAGCAAAGGCCAACACACTCTCTTCTCCCTGCCAAGCCAGCCTGCGCCAAGCATGTGTGCAGAGAAGGCCCGTCATTAGGCTGCCGGTCACAGGCACAAATGAATACCCAGGTGTGCCAGTGGGCAAAGGAGCACTTCTGTTTTTCCCAGCCTGTTGTCCTACAGTAACTGCTTTTATCACGGCGACATTGAACCCCATGATTTGAAAGATTGGTACATTTTTCTGTTAATGCTTCACTTTGCTTTTTGAAAACTGATTTGAAAACCTACCTAACCATCAGTCTGGTTTTCCTGGCTTCATGAGGAACTGGGCTTTGGACTTTGTTGTTTCTTTGGTTTGTGTTTTTAGCCCCTCTGTGCCTCAGTTTCCAGTTCTGTAGAATGAGGGCATTGAACGTACATAGCAGTCTGAGAGAATGGCTGCAGGACAATGGAAACCTTTATTGAACGAGCTTGTCAACATGAGCTATTTGGCTACATAGTCTCCATCTCTTTTACTTTTATCTAATTTTATTTCATCAATAACCTATATGCGGATTGTGCCGATAACATTGTTTTTACTTTCTGTTTTCTTCTTTCAGTCCAGAACCTCCCCCAGAATCAGGTCTTTCGTTTTGATGGTCTGCCCTTTCCGTCGGGTCTACTTGACAGCCGTGAACCGTGTCAGCAATCTGAGAAGTCCTGCAGCCGGAGGCAGGGTTCCCATTGTGCTCACCCTTCTCCAAAGAGCTCTGCACCCTCGTCTCTGTATCACCTCAGAGCGCAAGGTCTCCCGTTGTGTTCCTTTCCAAGGTTCCTTGAGTCGGGCCAACAGAAACCCAGTTCAGGGATGTAGGGTGCTCGGGGTAAGGTACTTCAACGACGTTTCTGTAAGCAAGCCCTCGCTACCCTTGAAGAATGAGCAGTTACACTGTTGGGATTGGGGGACACCTTCCTCAGCACAACGGTCCTGGCTTTTTCCTGACAGGTGCACTTTTCCGTTTTCTTCAGAATTCTTCCGAAGGAATCTTGTGATCTCCTTTTGTCCTTCAAGGGAATCTATCCAGATTACCCCTTGGGACCCCCCAAACCAGTCACCGTAACCTCCTGAGCTGACCTCTCTGCCTTAAATTCGGTTAGCCTAGCACATCCCTTTGGAGAAGCTGCGGTTATGTTTTGTTTTATTTTGATTTTTGAAGGCACCCTGACTCGAGTACGGCACGAGTATTACAGAGAGAACTTGTCTGCAGTCGTCCGCCGGTGGTGTGGACCCGTCTCAGTGTGTGTGAAATACAGTCACGCATATGGGCAACCTGAAGCCCTCAGAGCATCCTATTTGGGTGCAGCGTTTCTTTACTGGCCCGGGGATTCTGCGAGGCTGTGAGTCGGACAGCGTGGTGATGTTAGGGGGTTGCTGGCTTCCTCTCCTGGGGGCTGCTGTCAGGAAGCCACCGGGGCGGTGTGAAACAGCAGGATTTATACTTAGACTCCAGCATGCTGAACTATGGCAGAATTGGTGGGGTCAAGGTTCTCTCTGAAAGCCTTAGGAAAAAGCCTCTCCTCTTCACTCCCCAAAGCCCTCTTCCTCCCCC